AATGCTCAATAGAAAGACTTTGGACAGAGCTAAGAATCCATTAAAGGAACCAGAAATTCCATACTCTAAATGGTCAATAGACATCCTAGCCATTACAACGAGATGAAAGCACACTTAAAAGTATCGCCATATAACGGAAATCTCCCAATATCATATCTCTCGTCTACAACAATAATTGCTCTGTCAAAACAACAAGACCCAACTAGATTTTAAAAACCAAAGTTCTTGAACAAAACACATTTTTAAGGTCCTTTATCTAAACTAGTTCACCACTCAAAATCTAGAACAAACTAATTTGTCAAATAAAAGAAATTTAGAAACTTATAATGAAATCCCACCATGAAAAGATCTAACACAACAATGATAAGTCTAATGATAACTCTAACACTAGTTGTTATGGATATTTTAATATTACACATAAAATTCTTAGGATTAAGACCAAAAAGGAATTGAAAAATACAATGTAAAATCAACATAGATTATATGGGTTTGTTCTAATGCTTATTTTCATGATTGAAGTTGGATCTAAGATTTGACTTTGTCTAAAAAAATGGATAAGAAGTCTAGAGAGTCACTTTCAAAGCTCAAAACTTCAAATCTCACACATCTAAAATACGCATTTCATATAGTTCTAAAATTCACATAAAGCTCTTAGGAAGCTCCATTACAAAATAAAGAATTATAAGAGCATTCACTATAGGTAATAGCTCAAACATAAAGATGTCTCACGAAAGCTCTTATTCCTATTCACAAAAGATAAAAAAGGAGGGTAAGATTTTTCACTCAAAATTTAAGATCTTTTGGTTGTACATTCTAAAGCCAATTCATTATGTTCTAGTTATATCACCAATAAGTCAATTTGTTATCCTAGCTTTCAAAACTCATCAACCGACCTACTAATCATAAAATGTTTCTTTTTACATCACATTGTCATGTGACCACTTAAAGTGTAGGAACCTCAACCCCCTTCTAAGGTAGAGGAATTGAAGAAGCCAAGTAAGACTAATGTGATGGCTGATTTACTTAATAGAATGACCGAGTTGTATCATATGAAGAAGGTTGATGGGGAGATTGTGGCCAAAATCAAAGAGTGAATGGAGTATGATCTCATTGTTAAAAGTTTGTTAGTCTTTGTTGGGGAGACAAAAATTTTAAGAGAAGGATGACATTCTCTACACAAAAAGAAAAAGATTCTATGTGCCTAAGTGTGAAAATCTCCGATAAGACTTAATGAAGGAATGCTATAACTCAATATGGGTCGGACATCTAAGACAACAACATTGACAACAACATATTAGATTCTTGCTAGAGGGAACATATTTTTTTGCCACGGTTGTGTGACAATGTAAAATCTTATGTGAGAAAATGCCCGGTGTGCTAAAAAGATAAGATTGAAAATCGAGTACCTAAAGGTCTATTACGGCCTTTATCTATCATGGAGAGACCACGAGAGACAATCACAATAGATTACATAGTGGCTTTACCTAAATCAAAAAAATTTGAGAGCATTATCGTAGTCATGGGCAAATTCTCCAAGTATGCCACCTTCATGCTAATCCTAATGGATATGGCAATCGAGAACACTACTACACTACTCTTTGAGTATGTGGTAAATTATTAGGGCATGTCACGACACATCATTAATGATCAAGATCCCCAATTCACTAAGCTATGGACATAATTTTTTAAGTTTCTTGGCTTGAAACTATACTATTCCACAAGCTTCCGACCACGGATGGATGGGCGGACGAAATGGGTAAATGCATTGCTAGAGACATATTTGAGGCGCTTCATGAGTGCTAGTTAGCGAGAATAGGCTAAGTGCTAGATGTTGTATAATTTTCTTATAACTTACAAATGAGTGAGTTAACTAACAAGAGTCCATTTTATATCGTGACGGCCAGCGACCCCTCACTCCACATACAATGGTACTTGGTGAAAAATACCAAAAAAAAAAATCCTATTACATATTTATTGGCTAAGGGATGGTAAGAACAAACGGACTTAAGATGGATGTATTTGAACAAAGTCGAGAAGAAGATGAACAAATGGTTGAAAGATAAAAAGATGTCACCTTTCAACCAAGTGACAAAATGATGGTGAAATTGCTACCACAACAACACAATGCTTTTTCATACATTGATATGAAGGACCATTTGAGATAGTGCATAAGGTTGAGAAGTGAAAAAATCAGTTACCTTGTGTAGAATTCAACATGATGTAGAGAGAGCTTTCAACAATCACCAACCTTATAAATTAGTTTCTCTCCCTTAACCCTCTCTTTTGTACCGAGTGGCTTGATGGATAGCCAAATACGTGCTTTCTGTATTTTCTTTTGTATTATTTGTCCGCATACCATTTAGGGTAGAGAAAAGACTAGTTTATATACCGTTAGCATTGAATCTTGTACGTCCATCAAGTATTAATTAACGATCCAGCATTTAACATACTATTAAATTAAGAAAACCCTAAACCAAACTTAATATGGGCTTACAAAAATATGAACCATAACATTAGGTCATATTTCTTACAAATCAATCATTTTAAATATCTTTAAAAAAAAAAAAAAAGGTAAACTTTGAAATTTTATTTTCAAAAAATAAGATATTTTTAATTTTAATTCCGAATTGAGGCACCGTTTTCCAATAGTACCTATAAAATTCATAATCCCACCAAACTTTTTTAAAATATATATTTTTTTCTTCCTATCTCGCTTCCATTCAAAATCCGCTTTTTTTTTTTTAAATTTTCTATAACAAACATCTAGAAGAATAACTAGTTTTATTTATAAAATACCAAAGAATTAAAAAAATTCATGGAAAACTATAATTTATAAGGCAAAAAGTGCCTGGACTTAGAAATTAATAATTAAGTTTAAAGCTAGCATCCATATTTTGAAAAAACTCCAGATACCCTGCTTTCAAATTTCCTTTTTTCTTTCAGTACGAACTTACTTTTCCAAATTCAATGATATTGTAAAATATGACGACTGCAAAACTGAGATAATTCTCTCTCCCTCGTAATTGTTTTTACATAATTCTTAATTTATTAAGATCTCTCTCACACTCTTAATTTGTTAATTCTTGTTGCTAAGAGTAAATTAATGTTCTTTATTACTAAAGTATAATTTCTTGATTTACATTAAGATGTGAAAGGGCTCACTCACTTATTCACATGACTTTCTGAATCGAATAACAACTCCAAACACTCTTTAGAATTTTACATAAAAAAGAAAAATGTAAAACATATCTAATTTACTGGGAAATTACTAGGGATAAATTATATATAATATATTGTGTGAGGGACTCAAGAATTCTAAAATGACCAATATATATATATATACTATTCAATGGTAATATTGTAATATGTATTTTTGTGTCAGCTTGTAACGTCAATTGAGAAATTAATTTTTTTTTTTTGAAAGTTAATTTTATACCAATTTGCATGTGTGATTCTTTTTATTTTTTTCCCCTCGCAGTTCTTAAAGGGTATATCTTTTATATGAGCATGGTGCATTAAGAGAAATATAATATTTTTTTTGGATATTTACTCTAAAATTTAAACTCAATAAATAAATAATAAAACATATTTCTTTAACCACGAAATCAATCCCTTTAAATTTATTTTTTAATTCTATTAAAAAGAAGATTTAGCTATTCCATGTGTAGCTTAAAAAAGATTATAAAATTAAAGCATCAAAGGCACGATTGGTTTTGAATTGGGTGAAACCCATCCCGTGATTTATACCATTTAATATTATCTATTTTAATAAAACAAATCTTATATTATTGAATTTTGAAACAAAGTAGTTCTTTTCATCTTATATCTAACTAATCATATAATATTACATAATTAACAAAGATAGATGAAAAAACTAATTTGTACCAATATTCAATAATATATAATTTATTTTGTACTATAAAAGTATAGAGAAATTAAGTTAAATAATATTATCAAAGATAGTAAAAACTGGGGAATGGGTCTCACCCGTTTTGTATTCCCAGCCTAAATACTACGTTTTGAATTGTCTGGCCAAAAGTGGACAAGTGCAACCCCAAATTGTTTGTACTTGAGACAGGCATTACCAAATATAGAGTTAATCTTAGCTGCCCCAGGTCATCTTCTCCTCAGCTCTGACCCGTCTTAGGCGTGCCTCCCCAAGATATGCATTATCCACGTTTCCCACCCCAGTCTCCTCTTTAAGTAATTAATTAATTATCCACCCAGAAACTAATGAAATTCATGCTATAAATTTAATACATTTCTTATTTATGTTTTTTTTTTTTTTTTTTTTTGGCGTTTTACTTAATAAAGCAGAGACCAGATGTTGATGCCGCTGTCATGATAACTAGAGCTGATGTGTTTCAGTTTGAGATAAGGTATTAAATAAAATTTTATAAATAGAAGAAAAAACATGTTATGAGTTTTTAATGTATATGTTACAATCAGCTAACATTTCAATCCACTCCATGTGAACCACGATTTAGCGCTTTCGTTCAATTTTTTTTTTTTAAATAAACTATTTTTTATTTAAAAATTATTTCATTAATAAATCGGTATGAAATATATAACATTTCTTTTTTTTTTTTTTATCAAGTGTATGATTAGCATATAGTACACCAATTTATATACTTGCAACTTAAAAAACTTACAGAATTTAGACTCATATGTATGTCTCTTCCTTTCCACTAACAGATTTCAAACTATTTTTTTTAAAAAAAGAGAATATTAGGTTTTTTTTTTTTTTTTTTTTGGGTGACCTCCAAGCAATGAATTTTACCATGCAAAAGGGTTAATACGTTCTTGGAAATGTGGGTATTACGCGGCGCCAGGACCTGGTGGACCTGTCTTGCTCCCCCTTTTTCTAGGTGGTCCAATTAAATTAACAACAAAATCCTAGGAGGTTTTGTTTTGTATATAAATAGGTAGCAAAATTCAACAATATTAACTCCTTCTATTAAGCTTAAGAAATTCCTAATTCTTCCAAGTTCTACACTATCATGGCTTCTGAGCTGTCCGTGATCCTTCCTCGTGTTCTCATCGTCTCTAGACGTAGCGTCCGCAAAAACAAGTTTGTGGATTTTGTTGGTACGAATGTTTAAGTTCTTTTAAGTCATCAGAATTCTTGATTTGTTCATATGATTAGCAACACTAATTTTTGTTTATAATTAATTTTTTCCAGGTGAGTATCATCTTGATCTTATAGTAGGCTATGGTGCAGTGCCAGTTATCGTGCCCCGTGTTAGTGGGGTGCATATGTTGTTAGATAGTTTTGAGCCTATCCATGGTGTTCTTCTTTGTGAAGGAGAAGATATCGATCCATCTTTGTATGAAACTGAGGCATCTAATCTTTCACTTGAAGAATTGGAAGAAATCAGAAAACTTCATGCAAGTGATACAGCTATTGATAGAGAGAAAGACTCAATTGAGTTAAGGCTTGCAAAACTTTGCCTTGAAAGAAACATACCTTACTTGGGAATTTGCAGAGGCTCACAAGTTCTAAATGTTGCTTGTGGGGGCTCCCTTTATCAAGACATTGGGAAAGAGGTTTCAAGGAAGTGTCAGGAATCTCAAAGAGTGAAGCACATTGATTATGATAATTATGATGGGCATAGACATGTGGTTAAGGTGGCAGAAAACACCCCTTTGCATGATTGGTTCAGGGATTCTTTGGAAAAAGATGGAATGGAGATTTCAGTTAATAGTTATCACCACCAGGGTGTGAATAGATTAGCCCAAAGATTCGTGCCTATGGCGTTCGCACCAGATGGATTGATTGAAGGGTTTTATGATCCTGATGCTTATAATCCTGAAGAGGGTAAATTCATAATGGGTCTGCAATTCCATCCAGAGCGAATGAGGCAGGATGACACCGACAAGTTCGATTATTCAGGATGCCCAAGGGCCTATCAGGTTTTTAAACCCTTCCTTTACATCTGATGTTTTATGTTGAATTTGATGAAATAATATATGACTGTTATGTTCATGGACTAACACACAACTATCATGCAGGATTTTGTGAAGGCTGTGATTGCTTATCAGAAGAAACTTAACAATACTACATCTGTGCCAAAGCCTCTAAAGCTAAATCAAGCAATGGAGAAGAAAAGGAAAGTTATAGTTAGAAGTTTCTCACTTGCAAAAATCATATACGCTACTGGCCAAGAAATGAATCCATCAAAAGAATCAGAACTACAAGCTGGAGCAGAATTCCTAGAGGTATAACATATAGATAGATAGATAGATAGATAAAGGTTCTACCCTTCAATATGTTTGAATATCTTTTCCAGTTTATGTGTTTTGGTTCAATTTTGAGATCTTATATCTTTGATGATCATTTATTATTTATGCAGTCAAACACAGCTTTGAGCTTGCAACAAGAAAATAGATTGAAGCAGATGGGTGCAACAGTGAGGGATGCAGGTTCCTACATTGAAAGAATGAAGATGAATGAGGAGAGGGAAAAATTGGCAAAAAATGTGATGGGAAAAATGTCTGTAGAGCACTTGTCTGACTTGTTGTCTTTTTACCACATGATGGGCCAGATTTGCTCAGAAGTTTTAGAAAGAAAGCTGAATAGCCTTGTCCATGACATTGGTTCTTGATCGATAGTTCTCTTCCTTTCTTGTTGAAGTATCACTTTCCTGTTCGCAAAATCATTTGTAGTCACAGGAAACTTGGGTAATCAGTTCCTGTTTTTCCTTTGTATTAAACTTGGTGTTTCTTTCACATGATACGAGTACGTAATTGGTATATTTCAACGTCACTGCTTTCTCTTTTCCTTCGTATCTTCATTGACAATAAAATTTTTATTTGGTTTACAAAATTTCAATAAAAAGAGGAAGGAATTAAAAATAAAAAGTGGCTACAACAACGAATCTTAACCTCATAAAAGTGTTCACACGTATATAATGACTTTCTGATGCACATCTCTCTTACATTTCCTTAGCTGCTCACACTAAAATCAATTTATTAGTGAACCATTTAGTGTTTATTTGACATTTCAGCTCCAGAAACGCCAGTTTATCCATCAATAATTGCATCTCATCTTCTGCAATAATTATGCTGGAGCAAAAAAATAAGCTAAAAGAAGTTGATGGACATGCATTGCATTTGCAATATATTGTTAATATTTGTTTGCGACAAGGTGGCCATTTCAAAATTTCATGAGGGCTACAGCCATTAATTCAAAAGATTGTCGTCGTTCCTTCAATAGAAAACCAGCCCTTTATTATGGCGACTAAATAATTTTTGTGGAGACAAATCTTTATGGCGACTCTGCTTCCTTCTTTTTTTCCCCATGGTTTTTTGGTAACAAGAAATGCAATTATAAGAAGGATAACAAAAATTTTATTTAGGAATGAAAGTAAAAATAAAAATTAAATATAACTTTATTCTTATGTATAGAAGTGAAAGTAAGATTTTTTATATATATTTTAAAATAATAATATATTATTTTTATTTATTATGAATCAACTATTTTTATCATGACTTGTGGTGGTAATAAAAAAAATTATTATTTAGATTATTCCATTATTTTTTTTTCTATTACCAACATTACCATCACTTTTATTATATCATCATCATTGTTATCTTCACTATTCTTCCACTACCATCTATTATAATGATAGTGTTAATTTTTTACTATTATCAATATTATCGTCATCACCACTATTCTTCCATTACCATCTATTATAATGATGGTGTCAATTTTTTACTATTACCAACATTATCATCATTTTTATTATATCGCTATCACCATCATCACCATTATGGTTCCACTACCATCTATTATCATGATATGCCCATTTTTAAAAAATATATCGGTGATATTAGTATATTACTATTACTATTATCACTACCTTCTCCTCCTTCACAATAATTACTATCGCAATCATATTTACTATCATTATAGTTTATGAAATTATTTTTTTAATTATTATTTTTATTTGAAATAAATTATAAATCTATCCATCTTATTTCAAGAAATGAATTAATTAGTTCATTTAGTTTCAAAATACTAATTATTTAGTCTTTTTGCTATTTTTAATTTAGTTTCAAGAAACAAATTAATTATTTCATTTATTCTTCCACTACCATATATTATAATGATGATGTCAATTTTTTACTATTACTAATATTATCATCACTTTTATTATATCACCATCATCGTCATCACCACTATTCTTTTACTACCATCTATTATAGTGATGATGCCAATTTTTTAAAAATATATGAGTGATATTAGTATATTACTATGACTATTACCACTACCTTCTCCTCCTTCACAATAATTACCATCGCAATTGTATTTATTATATTTACTATCATTATAGTTGATTAAATTATTTTTTAAAACATTATTTTTGTTCAAAATAAATTATAAATCTATCCATCTTGTTTCAAGAAACGAATTAATTAGTTCTTTTAGTTTCAAAAAACTAATTATTTAATCTTTTCAATCAGTATTGACCATGACTAATTTGATGTTTTTTATTTTATAAAATGTCTTTTTTTCCTCATTAATCTTTTTATAATTTTACTTATTTTTTATTTATTTTTTATTTCTTGAAACAAAAAATCAAAATAAATTAAAAATAACAAAAATACTAAATAATTAACTTTTAAAACTAAAGGGACTAACTAATTCGTTTTTATGAGCAAGAAAGACTAATTTATATTTTACTCTTTTTATTCGTTTTAAAAAACAAATATTAAAAATTTAAATTTCATCTAGATTTATTTTTACTTTTTTTAACATAATATTGAAATAAAATATTATTTTAAGTTTATAATTTTGATTTTGATTTTTTTATTTTTATTCCAAATCTTTTATTTCTCGGAAAAAAAAAAAAAAAACTTTAAGTTTCAGCGGCTGAGGAATGATCACAAATGTACGAGAAGTTTCAAGAATCGTAGTAAAGAGCAGCCCAGGATTAGAAGTAAAGCCCAACATAATTTGTAGTGCTAGATTATCCATAGAAAAAATCTAACAAATTGTATTGGAGCCCAACAAGAGAGCTTACCAAAAAAGCTTCTGTTCGTTAACAAAATTATTAGATGTTTAGAGCAACTCTAATGCTCTTTCTATAGTAAGATTTTTTTTATAATAAAGAGTTTGACTCAAATTTCATCTCTAATATTTTTTTTATCATAATCTTTATCTTTAAAAATGAGATATAGAGTGTCTTTGACTCTCCAATACTTATAGAGTCTAAATAACTCTTTATCTTATATTTTATTAATAAAAATTATTATTTTTCATATCACTCGAGTCTATTTATCAATTGGATGGAGGGAGATTAACAGAAAAAAAGAAAAAAAATTTCAAAATTAAAAATTTTATGGATTTTGTCAAAATAAAGAGTTAAAGTAGAGAGTAACATAAAAGAGAATATTAATCTTCAATCTATATAATTAATAATACTTTATATTTACATTAAAAATATTAACTAAAAATAAAGAACCATTGGAGATGCTATTAGAACCTAAAACTAACATCCTCATTTCATTTCATTTAGGTTTCGTGTTGGAAAGCATAAGAAGTTCCTTAAGCCACGGGCTTTTGACGAAATTGTCATTTTACCCTCCTCAAGTACGTGGCTTCCATCAATTTCTACTCACATGTTTATTCTCCATCAATTACTCCTTGACGTTTCAAACATTTATCAATAAAGTCTTTCTGTCCATCTCCCTTAGCAAACTAACATAAAATATATATATATATATATATATATATATATATATATATATATATATATATAAGTTATGGAAAATATAATTAATATGAATTTTAATCAATAAAAAAATCACTTTAGTTTTTTAAAAATTTTAGACATTAAAATCATTAAATACCCCAACTTTACTTAAAAGTTAAATAAATAATTTTTGTATGTATTTAGTTCATTTAAAAAAAATAAAAACAAAGTAAAAAAATCAACATATTAAATATGATTTGATTTGAATTAATTTTTTTCCCTTTTTGTTCAATTTATAAGATTAGCATATATCTAGTTCTTGTATTCTCTCATCTTGTTGCACTTAGGTGCAATTTGATGTTATCAATTTACTTGAGTTATCACCCAAAAAAAAAAAAAACACATCCAATTTTTTTTCTATAATAAAATTCATTGAATTATATGTATAAATTTTTTTATTAATCCACTTTGAATTTCATTTGAATTTTTATTTTTTATTTTTTATTGATCAAAATATTATTAAAATATTTTAGTGAATTTGGCTTTGTATTTTTTCTTTTATGATTAAATTTCATATTTATTTTATTTTATGTGCTCTTGTTTTAAGTGAATTTGCTTTCAAATCAAATTTTATATGCATCTTAAAATGAATAATGTAAAAATGTTTTTTTTTTTGAGATTTAATTGAAAAATTAGTTATAGTTTTGGTGGGGGGATTGAAGTTTACAAAATATAAAAGCATATTCTATTAGTTTCAAACGTAAAAGGACAAAAGGACTTTATTGATAAATGATAAAACATTAGCAGTGATTGATATATATAAATTGATAAATAAATTGATAAAGCCCATATACTTCAAGTGATAAAATAAAATTAACGCAAAGTTATTACATGAACCTGGTCTATTTGACCAATCGAACTGTACGGTTCTAGTCCCTAAAAATTCAGTTTGTATAATAATTTTTCTAGACTTTTCTCTCGTTTGCTTTCCCATTTTTTTGAAATTTGATTACTTCTTCTGCTTTATTATTATTATTTTTTTATTGGGAGGCTTATTGGACCACGAGCTATATAATAAAAATAACTCTCTTTTGTTACATTGTTGTATCTAAATAAACTTACGTCATTAAGACTTGAATTTGTTTCACTAAATCTAACTATTAGGTACACAACAGTTAAATTACACATGATTTACATTTTTTATTTTTTTAGATATAGTAAAAGGATTGTATCCTATTCTTTGTATGTGCTCTTTTAAAGTGTCTTTATCTTAAGGAACTAGTTAATCTTAAGAGATTGAATTTATAGTTGAGGAGGCATCCTTTATTTTTTATTTTTAGGTTCAAATCTTAGAGTTAGTATTGAATGGAATGTATTAAATTTTTTTGAATGCATTGGGTCAATGTGGAGGGTGCACCTTATTATTTGAGAAAGAAACTTGATCTTGATTGATATGCAAACTGATTCAAGAAAATTTACTTTCGAATAATATATATATATATTAGCCGGTTATCCGCGCTACGCTGTCGATCCGATAGAACAAAATCATTTTAAAATTTAATTAATTTTTTTAATTTTTTTCATAAATTTTATGCTTAAAAAAATATAATTCATAATGTTGATCTTTATGGATTGATTTTAAAATAAAAATTATAATAATTTTAACAAAAATATTAATCAAGAATTAAAAAAAGCTTTAAAAATATATTTTTCATAATGTTGTATTCCAAAAAATAAAGTTATAATTAATGGAAAGACTTTTATGAAATTTAACAAATGATTTGTTTTCTTATTTAATACTAATGATAAGATTAATTTTTTAAATTATTCATGCAATGTTGCTTGGTAGATAGAACATAAATTTTATCATTTTTATTTAATTATTACTTTTTTTTGTGTTTTTCATGAAATTTCTGTTTAAAAAAACATGATTTATTCTTCTTTATTCTTGAATTCTTAAATAAAAACTTATAATAATTTAAACCTGAAATATTATTTCAGAATTCAAAAACAAATACTTCAAAAATATATTTTTTTATAAGAATATATCTAAAAAATAAAGTTACAATTAATGTATAAAGTTGCGTAAAAATTAACTAATGAAAAAATAAATTTTATTCTTATTTAATGTTAGTGAGAAGGATTTTTTTTTAAATTATATGATTTTGATCTATACACATTTATTTACAAAATAATCAATAATATTAGAATAAAAAATTGTATTTGAATGAGTGGTTGGTTCTTTTAAAAATTTATTTTAATTATTTTATTTCAAATAAATTGGTTCTATAATGTTAAAAAAATATTCATAGTAAATAATTTATATTATGTTGGAAGATATATAGTTAATTTTTAATAAATATAATGATTCAATAGTTTTTTTTTTATACATCTTGACCATGCCTAGTAAACTGAGACAAATTATCCGAAATACACTTTTAACTTTTTAGAATAATATATATATATATATATATATATATATATATATATATATATATATATATATATATATATATATGCAAGTATCTTTTAAAAATTCTAAGAATTCATGATTTATACTATACCAATTTATTATTAAAAAAAATATGTTTTAAAATTTTATTCTAAAATTCAAACATAGAGAAAATAAATTATATTTATTTGTAAATAAAATTTTACATAAAAAATATTAATTGGATGAGAATTTTCATAAAAAATGATAAATTCAAAAAATAAAATTTAAATAATAAGAGTAATATAAGCTAAAGTGTGTGTGTGTGTATATATATAGACACACACACACACACACACACACACACACACTACGTGAAAAAGAAAAAAAATGAAAGTTAAGGATTGAAAAAAAAATGTTATAACATAAGAGATAAAAATAAAAAAAAGTGTTAAATTTGTATATTAATGCCTAAAAACAAATAAAAAATCCACACACAAAAATCAATTAAATTACCATCAAGCGAATAGTAATTTTATGCTTTTCAACAGTTAGTAAATATAAATTTTAGGCATATGAACAGTTTATGAATAACAATCACTCGTCCAAAAAATCCATTTTATGCATATAAACAATAAGTGAATAAGAATTTTAAACATATAAACAATTTATGAACATTAATTATTGTCATTTAGTATATATATATATATATATATATATATATATATATAGAGAGAGAGAGAGAGAGAGAGAGAGAGAGAGAGAGAGAGAGAGAGAGAGAGAGAGAAGAATTATCTTAATATACATGTAACACGAAATGAAAATCCATAAAATAGACAAGAATTAAAACATTAAAGCTAATGACTTTTGCTAAGAGGAGAAAGAGGGAGAGAGAGAGTAATTGTCTCAGTATACATTATACTATATATTAAAGAAAAACATTTTTTACAATGAACAGTGTTAGTTGATGTTCATTGCTACAATGTTTTTTTTTTTTTTTTGCCAGCATCCTCTGGCTGACGGGTGGAATGACGAGGCCAGTGGAAGAAAGAGTCGTCCTTTTTGACTGGAATGGGAAGGGACTGAAAGGTGATGGCATATCAGCAATCTGGACGAAAGATTTAGAACTCTTGCATGTCATTTAAATGGATTATTACTAGTACAAAAAAACTGAATGGTTGAATTATCAAAACATATTTTTGCGTTTTATTTCACTATTTAAAACTATTTCCTCATGAAAAGATTTCTTTCTATTTGCAGCCAAGTACAGCGTATATAAATATTTTAAAATTTTTAGCCCATTATGTTACGAATTAAATAAAATATATAAAAATTATTTTAATTTAATAATTTATTTTATAATAAAAATAAAGAAAATTTTCTATTTAACTATTTTTTATTTATGTTTTTAAATTTTAAAAATAAATAATAAAGAAATAAATTATTGATTTTTTAAAAATTTTAATGCCCAATTAATTGTTGGTTCCTTTAAAATTTTAACATGCAACATTATTAAGAAATAGAAATTAAAAAAAAAAAGTTCAATTTTTTGAGGAAGAGGGGAGGGTGGGGGAGGCAGCCGTTTACTGTTCAAATGAACAATAAACAAGAAAAAAAGAGGAAAGAAGGCTAACGCTAGCCAAAAAAAAAAAAAAAAAAAACCAAAGCACCGTAGCAATGAACAATGATTAACACTATTCATTGTTACAGTGAAATACCATTTTCTTTTAGTTTATAGTATTAGATTTTTTACCCATGTTACATCGCGAGGTTGGATAAAATATATAAAATTATTTAAAAAAATTATTTCAGTTTAATAATCTGTTTTATGGTATGAATCTATAACAATATATAAAATCAAAGATAAAAAAAATTATAATTTTTTAATTAAAAATTTTGGATTTAACTATTTCTTATTTGTGTTTTTAAGTTTTAGAAATAAATAATAAAGAAAATAAATTGTTGGTTCCTTTAAAATTTTAACACTTAATTAATTGTTGGTTCCTTTAAAATTTTAACACCCAACATTATTAAGAAATGAAAATTAAAAAAAAAGTTCAGGATAGTACAAAGCCCAGCAAGAGTTTAAAGGTTTAATAAACCTTGTGAACAAAAATAAAAATCTTTTCGGTATTTATATACCAATATTGCTGTATAGGCCGTAGAACAGATAGTACAAAGGTATATAATACCTGAAACTTAGAAAAATCAACAAGGCCACAGAATTTGACTATCAGGATTCCTAAGAAACATTAAAAATTATTTTATCCTGCTTACAAAATGACCTGTCTGTTTGCTGGGCCACCTAAATTTCCATTGATGCCACTCTCACCGTTCAGATGGAAGCTTCTCTTCGACAAATTTCAACCCCCTGCTCTGGTCAAATATGTACTACCAATTCTATTATGATGGTTGAGTGAAATAACCTCCATCTATTTGTCTTTCCATTTAACCCAATACTTGAAGAACAGCTTTCTCTGTCTATCCGAAAATGCGACCGCATCTCCTTCCAGCCATGTCTCGGTTTATCCTATTCATAGCCATAATAATCTTTGTCTGTGGTTCAAAACCTGTGTTTGCTGATGATGATGAGCGATATCTAAACTGCAGCAAAACGTTTGATTGCGGAAATATTAAGGATATTCCTTATCCTTTCTGGGGATCCAATAGGCAAGATTACTGTGGCTATCCAGGGTTGGAGCTCAATTGCATTAACCAAGATCCGGAGATCACAATCATGCAATCGACTTACAAAGTCCTTGGTATCGATAATCAGTCGCGGACTCTCAATGTTTCTAGAACAGATTACACAGAAAATCTCTGTCCAACTCTCCTGTCCAACACCTCTTTGGAGCAAAACCCCTTGGAATATACTTCAGATCATGGTGAGGTAACACTGTACTATGGTTGCCCTGCTCCAAGTCCGCAAGGGCTTTCCGCTCGGTTTACTTGCACCATTAACGAGACTGATATGATGGGCTACTTTATAACAGCCAACCTCTCTGAACTTGTTTCAATTGCTCCTGGCTTAATCAGCTACCTGACAACATGCAATAATAGCGTTAAAGTTCCAATACGTCAATCAGCTATTCTGCCGAATATAGACATTACAACCGTAGAACAGTTGCTTGGAGTTCTTAATCAAGGTTTTGGGTTGGAGTGGAATGCAAATGATGACTTATGTGAAGCATGCAAACTTTCTGGTGGGCAGTGTGGGTACAACCAGACAACTAAAGCGTTCACTTGTTATTGTGCGGATCAACCTCGAGAATTTAATTGCGCAGCATCACCACCTAGTCAATCAACAAGTATGTCCTCTTTCCAGTTTCTTTTCTTGATGGCAAAATAGGATAACTAGATAGAATGTAAAAGTAAGATATGTCCTCCAGGCTAGGTGATGTAGGATGATCTTTGGTAATAGAAACAGGTGCGAATCGCTCCTTTGAGTAGAGGAAGGAACCTAGCTAGCTATTAGGAATTATTCATAGTTCCATGATCCTGAAGAGAACACCTTCCTTGACCAATTAAATTCAGTCTACCTAGGAGACAGAGACTTGATAACATGGAAATTTAGGTAGCTGTTTCTCACGAGGAGCAATCATTAAAGTATTTCCAACTTAGTATTTTCTGAGAATCATCCTTCAAAGACTATTTCTGTTAATGAAGAATTGCAATATACTCTTCATTCCCACTAGTCTAGGTTCCTTGATTAGTGAACTGCAATTAGTCCAGGCCCCATCAATTTTTAATATGCATGTGATTATTGCCTTATGGACCTGTTCAAATTCCTAGACGGCTGGACTGACAAAGTACCGGTCAAATATACAATGCAAAAGGATCTGTCAATTTTGACACCACAGTAAGTAGTGCTCAGTCAATGATCGGAGACTGGCAGGCATATTTTTACCACTGCTTGCATAAATAATAGGAGAAAGAATGGTGCTTCAGGAAAGATCTCATCCTACAAACGACTTGCAACCCCCAAAAGCAGTAATTTTAAGAATATTCAGTTTGGATCAATCAACTTAAAATTATGGGAAAAGGATGGTAGGGTAACACAGAAATTTACAAGCTGATCTAGAAAATGAGTACATATTGTAGATATAATGGTCTTTCTGATAATGTCATTTGTGGTTATTAATTATTTGATGGTCTTTTTCCTGGTACAATATTATAGTCTAACAACTTAAAATCCAAACCAAATTCTCACCTCCTGTTTTCATCTGATTTGGCCTTAGATGGCATACATGACGGTCATTGTGAACCATTGACAACATTTGCTTGGCAACTTGAACCTAGAATATCATAACATCACAAGATCTTTATTTTTATCTGCATGCCTTATTATATTCTTTGGTTTTTCTGACTTTCCTGTTTGTCAGCTCTCAAAAATTCTTTTCTATACCTGTTTTCAGTATTTTGTCAGTTCTTTTGATGATTTTCTATTTGTATTTATTGAGTCACAGTCGCTTGTTAAGTTTCTCATTGGAGCTTCTTGGATGAAGTTTTTTATACTGAAAATATTAAAATCAATATTAATTCCGATCAGTTATAGAAATTCGGACCGGAAACTGAATTATGGGTTTTGGCATATTCTTACAAAATCAAAAACAAGCTGCTTCTTCCTCCGAAAAGTCGGCATCATTTGTTATGCTCAGACTTGGTTATCTTCTTGGTATATATCCATACACCAGATTGCCGTAAGGCTGTAGCACAGCAATTAAGAAGGTATATAAGACCTGAAACTTGAAAGCAATGGCTGAATAGGAATCCTAGAGAGTCAAATAAACCAGCCACTTGAAAACATAATCTGACTTATGAAAATTCAAAATACACATTAAAAATTATCTTATCTTACTGAAAAAAATGACCTGTTGATTTTCCTAGTCACCTAAATTTGCATTCATGCCACTCTTACCATCCTAATAGAACCTTCTCTTTGACAAATTTCTAACACCTACTTGGTCCAATAATACCAATTCTATTATAATGGTGGAGTAATATTACTTCCGTCTATTTTGTTTTTCCATTTATCTCAACATTTGAACAATTTTTCCCCTCGATCCCTCTCCATGTGAAAATGCAGCCCCATCTCCTCTCAGCCATGTCTAGGTTTATCATATGCATAACCATGATCTTTATCTGTGGTTCAAAACTTGTGTTTGCTCAAGAAGATGAGCGATATGTAAGCTGCAGCAACTCATTTGATTGCGGAAATATTAAGAATATTGGTTATTCTTTCTGGGGATCCAATAGGCCTGATTACTGTGGCTATCCGGAGCTCGAGATTGATTGCAGTAAACAAGATCCGGAGATCAAAATCATGCAAGTGACTTACAAAGTCCTTGACGTCAATAACCAGACACGGACTCTCATGGTTGCTCGAACAGATTATGCAGAAAATATCTGTCCGACACAACTTTTCAACACAACCTTTAATCCCAACCTTTTGAATTACACGCAGGATGATCATAAGATGACAATCTCAACTCCGTTTACATGCAGCATAGACAGCACTAATACAACGGGCTACTTTGCAGCAACAGCCGACTTCTCTTCTCTCGGTCGCGCAGCTGCTACCTTAATCAGTTACCTGGTATCGTGCAACAATAGCGTTATAGTTCCATTACGTCAATCAGCTTTGCAGTCAATTATATCAAATGCAACTGTATCAAATTTGCTTGGAGCTCTTAATCAAGGTTTTGGGTTGGAATGGGATGCAAAAGATAACTTATGCGTTACATGCAAAGATTCAGGTGGTCAGTGCGGGTACAACCAGAATACTGCAGCATTCGCTTGTTATTGCGCAGATCAACCTCAAGAATTTTCACGCCAAGGTTCACCACCAACTAATGATCAACCCACACGTATGTAATCTTTCCTGTTTTTCTTCCTCTTCTTGATGCAATACTAGGAGTAAATAGAAATAGCTTGTACTTAAGATATTTCCTCCTACTAACTAGGTGATGAAGAACTAGGTTCTTTGCTAATAGAAAACCAACTTGTACTTATCATTTAAGGAATCCACGAGGAGGCTGTAGTAATATTCTAGCATCGAATCACCTTCAAAATAGGTAAGAATCATTCCTTTAGTTAAAGGTGGTAACCTACTAGCTATCAGGAATTATTCAAAGCTCCATGATCTGAAGAAAACATCTTCCTTGACTTATTAATTCCAGTCTAACGAGGAAACAAAGACTTGGTAACATAGTTATTTAGGTAGCCATTCATCACAAGGAGCAATCCTTCATATTACAAGTTGCTTGTTAAAGTAATTCCAACTCTGCATTTGCTGAAAATTACACTTCAGATATTATAATAGTCTTTAGCAGTGGCAGGCGCACCAGACTGTAATAAAATTCCTCTTTCTTTTTTCATTTTTTTATCACGAATAAAATTCCTTTTCTGTTAAATGTAGAATTGCATAATATTCTTCATTCCAACTAGTCCAGTTTCTTGTTTTATGAACTGCAAAATACTCTTCATTCTTTTTCTGTTCTGTTCCCTATGCTGTTCCTCTCTTCATCGAAAAATCTTGTTCCGTTCTATCCTTGTCTGTCCCTTTTTTCTTTTTTCTTTTTTAATTTGGGTCTCTAACTTTCTTTTTGATATATGATTAAGTTTTTTTTTATTCCGTTAATTAATGTCAAGTTATATTTGATGCATTGAAAGCATTTGAAGCTATAAAAATAATGGTTTTGTTTTACCCAATTTTTTTTTGTAGTTTGATTTAACAGATGCATTAAAAAAGTTAAAAGGTTTTTTTTTACCCAATAGTTCATAATAACTTATAACCAATTAATTTAACCAAAATCAAGTTTTGTTTTCAAATTTTTCACATTTGTATGAGTTCCATATTTTTCAAAATTTTTAATTTTATGAATAGAAAGTTCTACAATAGATATGTTATATGTATATTTAACAGACACGTCATGAATAATTTTAATAGATTCTAACAAGACACTTAATAAAATAAAATAAAAAATGTATAAACACTTAATAGAAAAATAAAAATAGAGACCCTATAATAATAATAAAAAAAAGTACAGACAGTGAAATAAAAGTTGACCCACTTGATTAAGATACAAGCACTTTGAAAAACTTGGTAAACTCCTACGACAACGTTTTTTTTGGTCAAAAACGACAACAAATGTAATGGTAATGGCATTCAGGGAATAAAATCATTTTGCCGTTACCGACAAGTTCTGCATTATTTGAGTCTGACCACCACCTGCCATATTTTCTTGAATAATAATTAGTTAATCCCTTTAGTTTTAAAAGATAACATTGAGTCCCTATATTTATAAATTTATTTCTAATTTAGTCATTCTATTGATTATTTATGACATTTTTTTTTCAAAATTCCTTCATTTATACAGAAAAAATTCAACCTCACCAATTATAGACAATTTCTTTTTAAAGAGTAATTTTGAAATTTCAAAAGAATTAACAATCAAATTTATGATTTTCAAAACCATAAGGACTAAATTATAAAATTATCGAAACTAAAGGGACTATAATATGTTTTCGTTGATAATTTATAACACTAGTTGACTCTTTCAAATACGTCAGTGACTCGTCATTTTTTGTATTGATATTAATATTAATAATAGAGAAAAAGGACGCGTCTTTCACTTTTTATTTCTAATTAATTTCATGAAAACGAGGTGCTTTGAATTCTTTCTTTTTAAACTAGTTTTCCTAGAATTCACATCATCAATTTCCTTTCCGAAATTAATTATAGCTCGATAATAACGAGAAGATTCAAACTAGAGATTTCACACCTTTTATTTTGTAATTAAATTAATTAGTGCATCTTTAATTTTCTTTGAAATTTGGATTATGTTTAACCAAAATTTTGATATCATCATTGCCTGGTAGTTGGGCTATAGTTCATCATTGCTTACCTATAAAGCTAAAACATGAGCTCAGTTTATGACCACCTCTGTAACAGATTTGTTAAAGTATTTATCTTGACAGTTGATGTAAGAAATGAACTACGTTTAAAACTATGAGCTCCTGCATAAATGTTTTTGGGTAAATAATTGAAATTATTGCTATTTAATGGCTTGAGTTTTTAATTTGTTATTATGTTTCTAATAGTATTTGTTATGTCTGTAAATAATATTTAACTATTTAATCTATTTTTTTCAATTATGAACAAAATTTTTAATTGAAACGTTCTTGATTAAAATGCAAAAGGAAAAAAACCACATAAAGTCGGATAATTTGCAAGCTCTATTTTTGAAGTCGTTATTTTTTTTATTAGGATTATTTCGGTTAAAAAAATTATTCATGATGAGAAAAACTAATCAAAAGAAAAGATTTGAGACTTAAATATTATTTAAA